AAACTTTTTCTAGTCCACGATATTTATTCAACCGTCCTCATGAAAAATCAAAGTCTTAAGTTGGTGTCTTTGAGCTAGAGGTGACATTACGAGTTGCCGCTGTGACAGTTATATTTAAATCATTCATTACAATCGACGTTTTGAATATTTCACGCACCTATCACAACTTTGTGTCACGAGTATGATTATAAGGCTAAGGTAAAACCGACTGTAGATTCTCAACCCCCGTCGTACCTAACAAGACTCATATTTAGATCAACACCATTTTGACTAAAGAATTTCTTTTTATTATGCAAAAAATCATAAAACATGTTTGCTATCATAGCAAAGCATCCTCTTTTGTTATTCACCGCTAACTCTACGCTCTTTGATATCCGATCCTCTCGATCGTAGCCAGGATGAATTGAACATGCCGGCACTGTTCAGGAACGCGGGAATAGATGGTTAAATAGTTAAACAAGAATCGAACTAACGAGACACACGGTGCCCGTGGATAAAAAGAAGGGTGAAATTTATGCACCACCGTGACCTTTGACTACCCTCTCGTCCGGAGAGAGAGAGAGAGAGAGAGAGAAAAAGAAGAAAGGTGAAGCCAGTCCTGTACACTTCGGACAGAGGCGGTGGTCTCGTTGCCGGATGAGACACGTTATCGTTCGGTCTCGAGATTCGATTCAAGCGAGGCCGAGAATGTGCTCTCGTAGCCTCGAATGCGAATTTAATAAAGAGAATAAATCATTTTAATGTAACGCGCGGCGGCACGTCGCTGTGGAACGAAGGGGTGACACGATGCTAAAGGGGGTTAGAGAAATTCAAACGGCGAGAGAAAGAGAGATGGACGGAGAGAAATATAGGGTAGGGTGGGGGGAGAGGAAAAAAAAAACCGGTATTTTTGCGTCGAGCACGGAGGGGTGCATTTCGTTGCGATTATAAAAGCTGGGCAACCCCCGGTGTGTCTAGACGACGTGGCCTCCTATCAAAAACAGACCACCGAACTGAAAAGGCTGAAAGGGCAAGGAACTCCTGACAATGCCAAGAAATTAAAGTTTCTCTGTATATCCACCTATACTCGTCTCCTATTCCTCTCCCTTCTTTTTCTTTCTTTCCCATCTTTCTCTCTTTTTTTTATATATATACGACTACCATCCTTTTCGTCCCGACATCGATGTCGTACGTCGGCCCGAGGAAATAACGAGAGAAAGAGATCACTTTGACGATAAACGCAAACACAGAGGAACGGGGAGAGCAACGTACGCGACCAGTTAAACAGACTCTTGTTCCTCTTTCTTCGTGGCAAATGTTTCGCGAGAGGATTTCATCGTACCTGTTGGAGTTCGATCGATCCTGTCGCGTACACCTCAATGATCCGCAACCGAAACGGACGTTGAAATTTATAAATCCATAACGAAAACAATTGAATCGTTTAACATTATAACCACCGACACTTCGTGTATTCTTATTCCTACCGTAAGTGGTCGAATGACCGCTTTAAAAAAGACATACTCCTTAACCTCTTAGCGTACTCGTCCGAGTTAAGTCGGGTTTAAGAAAACGATATTTTTCCGCGCGCCCGAATTAACTCATGAGACCTGCAGTTTTGGTTTTTTATATAAATATAAAAGGCGTTTAAAATTTACAGGTTTTTTTTCGTTGCTCGAGTTAACTCGGTTAAGTGAAGTAGGTACAATTACCTCGGTCTTTTTTGCATAAAACAACATTTTTTTTTCCAAGATTTGTTAATGTTCTTTTGTATTTTAAGAAAGTAGAGAATAAAAAAATTGATGAAAAAACGACCGCTTTTGAATTTTTAATTAGTGCGTTAAGGGGTTAGTATAGAGTGACGATTATGAACAATTAGACAGTGAACAAAATAATAATTATTTTATTTTTTTTCACGGCAATTTTTACAAATTATAGGATTCTTCATTGCACATTTCCCATATAAGTATTTTAAAAACGGTCATTATGTTTAGTGTTAAAAGAAACATGTATTTCCTGCAACTTGAAACAATAATGATATAATTCGCGGAGTAACTATGAACAGTTTAACAATTTGAATTTCTTTATATAGCCGTAAGCAAGAATTAAGTGGACGATCGGTAAATATGACGGTATTGTTGCACGAGTGAAAAGAAGGATTCATTGATACCCGAGAAACGTCCGACCCGCTGGCTGTCACAGCCAGTCACCGAATCATTTGCATAATCGCGACTGATTACTATCGCTTCGCCGTGACTCCCGTAGCCATAGCCATATGTTAGACATCGAGAAATTCAGCGAACGTTCGTCGAGCAACCGCGTTCCAACGATCGACTCGAAACGCGACGACCAGAAAGAGGGACCATTGTTATCGAACCGAGTTTCGAAATAAATCAAAACCCTAATCCGTCCTCTTCTCTCCGTTTTCGTAGAAATCTGTTTTCGAGGAAACATGACTTGGAACGATTCGAGAGCACGAAGGTCTTAAGGTATGAAGAAAAAGAATTCAAGGTGCGTTAAGTCGAGTGGACAATCGACAGATCGGAAGTGTGAATCAGGAAGCGATGTGTCACGTGCTGCTTTTGCACGTCATCAAATAGGATACGTGAGCCATGAATCGCAAAAGGATTACTCACGCAAAAGGAACCTGTACGCTCAAGCTTCGTAACAAATCAGTCATTTGAAAAAGGAAAAGTTGAGGGGAAAAAAAATGAAGAGTAAAGAAAAGTAATGATTACTTTCCATTTATATCAGCCACGTGCTCAGGTAATGAAACTGAGAAATTTATTAAAAGCAAACATAGATTTCTTATGATTTCTAGAATGACGAAGACATCAATCGATTCTATAAATCCGTGAGTCAGCGTATAAATTGTACTTGTTATTGAATACGTAAGATCGATAAGAAGATTCTACGAATCGATCGTTGGAATTCAATCACCGATACGTATTCGTGGGGCCCGAGTACGAGGTCCGATCCGAACCGGGTCGTTGCCTCGAGGATCGAAAGGGCACCAAGCTCAAATATTTTTCTATCTGGTCGTGCTTGGAAACATAAGTAAGCCAAGCTGATAAACGACCTCTGGAATGTTAGATAAAGTCGATTAGGGCCAACTACGAGTTAGTTAGCAGCAACAGTTGGTGAGGGTGTTGATATGTGTGAGAACGAGAAAGAAAGAAAGAAAGAAACAAAGGTGGATGCCCCATATACGTAGAGTGCCGACTTTATCGGCTTCACAGGGTCCAGCCATACTCCGATAAGAGTTCACGCGTCATATTCTTTACGAACATACCTAAAACGGTCCACCCACGACGTATCGTCGATAAATCGGACATCGATCGAGCCTACGATACCCTGTCGATTCCATATCCGTGGGTATCTTCCGTATTTCGATCCAACGGTTAGTTACTTCGGAATCTTACGGGAAATGTGCTTCTATCGAGAGCTAATAATCTGGTTCACTTTTGTATACGATAGATGGCAGTAGCAAATAGATGGAAGTCGAAGATCAGTAACCCCGATAGGCGAATAACCGCGCATTAACTCTTTGTTTATTTCAATATACCAAAACAACGTTTCTTTCGCTCCATTTGATCGATTTTTATACAATTCGAGTTTGATTAATATAATAGGGGGGTTATTAATTCATATTTTCATGTACATTAACTAATGTTATGTATAATTCAGTGAAAATTGTTTTTCTCGGAATTTAAACAATATTCATTCACTTGAATTTGATAGTTAATTCGTATACTGACTTTGAACTATACAAAAGGGAATGACGTAAAATAAATGTTAGTATATGTTAAAAAGACAATACATACAATTCGTTAACTGTCGTGGTATGTCGTCACTTGTAGATTGAGGATGAAGATCGAGACATAAACGTTCGAGAAGCATTGGAAAACATATGGCATTTCGATATGGTACACGAAACCAGTGAAAAACTGTAGAAACAATAGATGAGGACGGAAAGCGACCGCGTGCCCTTTTTCTGTTTTCTTCTTTTTTCAGCTTGCAATCGAGGTAAACACAGCGCGGCACGTTTTGTGGCGCCCCCTAACCGATAAAACGCCATCGAAGCATTCTCATGCCTTGGTCGCGCATGTGAGAATCACGGCGTGACATACGGGTTGCAGTCGAATAGCAACGTGACATCCGTTCAAATGGTATCGTAACTATGCCGTTGTGGTTGATAATAAAATTGCTGACTCGACTTAACCCGAAAATTGATCAAGGTGCAACGTATTTAAAACGGAACACGAGTTTACGACCACGCCACCGCCACGCACGCCAGACACTAGCATGCTTCGATGGTGGGGCCACTGTGCCGAACGGCCAACCCCTTCCGCGCACGTTTACAACCATCAATAATGTATTTCTGTGTCAGTACTCACCTTCGTCTGAGTCGTCCAGTCTTTCTTTCTGGTTGTAGGATATATCTGAAACCCACAAACACCACGGGTTAGCTGAAAATCCCTCGTGTTTTCGAGCAGCTTCGTTCGATCCACAGGCACTCACTCACCCGCCATGTTGTAACAAACTGTAGCGCGCCCTCGTGGCCACGCATTTAACTTTCCGCAATCGAGAGATCGTTCTTTAACATTTACAGATATATCGATATATTTAACAACTCTGATTATCGTTTCAACGCTTGCCTCGATTTTGAAAGTGAAACGACAATGGCAGAAATATTTATTTCTTAGTTATTATCGAGGACTGAATTAAAGTCAAGTGACTAAATTAATATATCTTTTTATTACGATACTGTACTATTGAGTTAAATGAGTACAAAATATATTGATTTTATCGTATGGGATTTCAAAATTAGATTGACCGGAAATGCTTAAAGGGATCGTATATGATTAATTGCTAAAATTTTACGGAACAATAAGTTCCTTTTTTTAGTAGATGAATTCAAAAAATAGAGGATACGATATGAGTTATATATTTAATACATAAATTGGTATCTTATGTATAGGAAAGGTTGCGAATGAAAATCATTAGTTGATACAAAAATTTTGCAAAATTATACATGTAACATTTTATGTCTCCATAAGAATATAATATGAGCTTATACGTGTACGGTTTTTTTCTGTATATACTACATGATATCAATATTTTACAATCCTCTAAAATCAACCTTACATTATACCATAAATTCAGTTATTTGTTTGTCAGTACTGACAAGTACAGGTAATTGCAGACTTTCATAATTTAAGAGAGAAATATTTTTAATTCATGGACAAAAATAGTTTTATAGTTTTGTGAACCAGTCACAAATATTAAATTGGAAATGTACAGCATACAATGATAGGAATTCAAATGTAAATTTTAAATATTAATCTTGTTTTAATGTCTACTATATAAAAAAACAAATATTTAAATTTGTCTATTTTATTTTAAATATTTAATTAAATGCGAATTTTATATAGATCAAATTTAAAGAAAATAATTCGCACAGCCGATAGATGTAACATGATGTTCTCCTGTAAATTGAATTTCCAGTACGATAATTTATATATCACATCCACATATTTGAAAGCAATGTTTAGAGTGATACACATTAGAAGCGTGATACATATAAAGGTGACTTTGCTTTCTATGATTGATTTGTAATCCTCTTGATTTAAAATACTGTATTGTAAGAAAACAAATGCGCAGAATGATATAATTATATCCCATACGTGATACGCACGATATTTTACAATTGTGATTATCTCGCGACAGTTCCTGAGAGTTGTATAATATAAGAAAGGTAGTGGAAGAGTATTAAAAAATGCTGGTGTACTTGTGTTGTGTCATGTGTTATCTAGAGCTACTTCTTCAATTGTAGCCCTGCACATTGGACACTCTACCAACTGATTCGAACACGTCTGGCAAAATCCTCTGAAAGAATATTCATTTTTATATGTTAACTATTTGATTAGTTAACAAAGAAATCGGTTCTCCTTTAATATTCTAAGTAATAGTTAATTATACATCTATTTGATTGATGATTATTCACAGTTACTCTTTTAATAATTAAGATTAAATATGTGCATATATATATATTACCTGTGATTGCACGGTAACAATCTCACTGATGCTCTTTGGTCAAAACACAATGTACACGAATCTTCTCTAACGCTAAGTTTCCTCAGTTGGTCTAAATATATGTGTCTAGGAAGCACAACCTTATCTTCAGGCTTCAAAGAAGCGAAATCATTGAATTTCTTATATTCACGATCAGTAGGGGGATATTTAAAAGGTACATTTCCGAAATTAAAAAGGCATTGTTGGAATGACATGAAACTAGCCGCTGCAAAAAATCCAGACCTAAAACGTACAAATTATGTATTAATAATTACTTTAATTAGAATATATCCAGATACGTGAACAAAAATATACCTCACGGTTTTGAAAACTTGAACACAAGGTTTGAGTGGGACACCATTTATGGAGAATATGATTTCTAATTTGTTCAAGTCTAATAAACAACCCAAAATATCTCCGGCCTTCCAACATGGTTTTTCGTGGTATTTTTCACTTTTTGCATTGTACCATATCAACCTACGACAACCGTCATAAGCCAAAGAAAATTCATCATCGCCTATACCATATCCTTCCTAAAATAACAAAAAAGAATGAGCGAAAAGCGAGCAAATAACATCGAAGTTATGTTTATTAAATTAAAAATGAAATGCTTGCATGATTTAAAAACGTGCTGTCTTTTGTAGCCCAACCAATTTGCATTACACCTGTAGTTATGACAAGTGTTTCATAATACCATATTCCTGAATCTACTTGAAATGTACACCTTACGCTTTCAAACGAGTACGCGTCGCACCGCGCCTAAAATTATGATACGAATAATACATTTCAATATACAAATATCGTTCGATAAGATGTACATCACTCTTAACAGGTCTCACCTCCAAACCATTGGGTGATATTTTCAGGTACTCACTTACATCTTTTGTGTTTAACATAACATTAATACCACTCATATCAACTGCATCATGTGAATATTTCCTACCTTCCATTAAAACTGAAATTGTCAAAGTGTACATGTATTAATAACAATTTGTCTTTAAACGTATTCTTCCATTCAATCGTTTGTTAATACTTACACAAGTTATCTAGACACCACTGTGCACAGAAACCTACTTGTCTACGTACATAATGAGTTTCTGTTGCCCATTTTTCCAATTCTAATAATGGATTTGGTTTTTCTGCCATTAATCGTTTTTTTATAGTTACTTTATTTTCACCTGAAAATATAATATAATGGATGAATACAATTTAAAATATATCGATACTGATATGGCAACTGCATAGACTATTCTAATAATCACTAACTTGTCTGTGCAAATTTTTCCAAAGCTATCAATGAATACAGAACCACATAAGCATCAATATTTTCTTTCTGGAAGAATGCATAAATTATAAGTGTCAGGAGATAGATTTCATATTTGTCATATTTACAATTACAAACTTAGTTAAGCTTACAAGATTTGAAATAAGATAATCCAAAGTTGCCTCTGATAGTATAGCAATACTACTTGGGCCAGCTAGTTTTTCTGCTATACAACCCAGTACTACACAAATATTGCGTTGTTGAGTTGCACTTGTTTGTATATTCCCAAGTTTTTGGGATAATTGAAACATGTGTGACAACCGTAGAACTGATTCCTAACATAATTAAGATAATAACATAATAATTTAGTTACAAATAATAAGCAAAATACAAATATATCAGTTTTGTCATGTCCATTACCTTTGAAGGTAGTGGACAATCATCTAATAAAAGTGTAATAACAGAAGGACCTAATGGGTTATGCATAGGAATAACATTAACCATAGAACTGACAACTTGGATCCATCCATCTTCTTTATCAGCAATTGCATGTAATTTTAACATTGCAGGTGGTGGCTCTTGTTCACTGGATATACACAACAACCAGTTAATAAATTTACAAGATGCATATAGGTTCTAAGCTTTATGATACTTACTTATCAACAAGAGAACCAATAACTCCAAGAGTTTCAAGTACTAACTTATCAATATTGGCTGAAGTTGGAAATTTGAAAGGTGTAGAAGTTACATCACCAGATGCAACTGTATCTACACCTGATTCTGGTAGTACAGTATTTTCAGTTCCTGCATGATTTTGTCCTCTATATATATCAAAATCTTCTAGTGGATCTTTACACAAACAATTGCCCATTCCCACACTTTTATAATAAATACTTTTCAAGATATTCTATGATATATTTTTTCTATGTGATATTTACACAATTGAGTGACATGTGTAATTGTTGTGTCCCATTTAGCTAAAAACAATTTATTTTCTCAAAGTCACAATATTATGTATGGATAGGCATTTATAAGTGTTAGGGTATTATATAAATGCTGAATTTTAATGCAATACATACTAAAAATATATTGGGAAAATCATGCTCCTTCATCACAATTAATTGTAATTATTTTTCATATTTTTATATGGTTTTCTTTTTACTCCTTTTAAATACATAGATAGATGCAAATTTAATAAAAGTTTAACGAAAGTAAACAAAAATCAGCTTGCAATTATAATAGTATTTTTAGCAAGGTAGCTTATCTGAAAGTAAAGAAAGATTATTAACAGATATTTTTATAATTTAGTTCGTTAAGTATATGAATATGACATACTTGCTTGAAAGCTGTCATTTGGTTATGTTTTCATTGGTTTTCATTAAAACAGAAAGATGTTGTTTGATCCTTTACCAATTTTTTGTTTAATCACATGTTTCATACCGTAAATCAAAAAAATGTATTCATTTCATTTCTTTATAAGAAAATGAGAATTTAAGCGTAATTATACTGTTTAAGTCGTACTTTTTAGGTTATGTTCTCGATAATCTTCAAAACAGTAATCTCAGCATAACAGGATATGCACACTATACGTACTATCTCTTGCATGAAGTGATCAATTCTAAATCCCATATAAGATATGGCTTTCTACGCAGATACATATATATTTTTAACGTTTATTAAATTACGATCTTTTCATTTAGATTTTCCGATCATTTAGAATTTTTATTATCCGAATACTTTTTACATTTTAATAATAAAATAAATTTGAGAGATTATACTTTAAACTTAAATCTTCAAGAACTTATTAGGAGAAGTAAAATTCATTTAAAATAGAAAAAAAATACATTTTACTGATGCCATTTTAAAATATTATTGTTTTTATTCTACATTTATTCTATATTTTATTATTATTAAAAAATTGAGTTAATTGTATGAAATTGATATACACATTTATGAAACTTATGAAGGTAATAATATAGCAAATTTAAACCTAGAAGTATGTTTAGAGATATAAGATTGAATAAATGTATTTAGGTTACAAAAACATAAATATTAAAACAAATTCATTTGAAGACAAGCCGCCATATCGAAGGATCTGCGTTAAAACGATAATGCATATCGAAAACTCGAAATCGCAAGGCAGTCGCGGTCCGTCTGGTACTTTCAAGACGAATTTCTTAACATACATCAACGACGGATCTTTGGCCGTTTACGATTATTATTCAAATAATACTATATTAGGTTGTCTGTCACTTGTGAATTTGAAATTGTACCTTGAACCAATAAATACTTCGATGAAAATCGTTGAATGGCCCTTTTTATAGACCTGCGATGCAATCACATGGGGAAGACGAGAGAATGTCAACGATCAATAGTATTACAAAAATGAATTGGTGATTCGTACGTTGAAAATTTTGTGCACAACATGGTGTCTGGGGACCACGAAAAGTTGCTGCCCGAGCCGGAGAATTACGTGAAATGTTTTTATGATCTCTTTAAAAGCATTGCCGAGGCACAGAGGTGCGAAATGTGTATAACCTCCCTCAAGCTTTGTTTACTTGACGCTTTTGGCGGTGACTTCATCTGTCATTTATCAAACTTATCAATTATGATAAAAAATCTGATAAGTTATTCTTGCTTTCATCAAATATGTTGATCTATGCTGCATACCTATTAAAATATGCGATATTTCTTTAAATGTTTCAAAGTAACCTAAAACTGTTTGTTTATTACAATTGTCAGTTTGACAGTTCTCATGTAGGATAAGATACGTTGTTTTAAAGCAGTTTACGGTTGTTATTTTTCATTATTTTTGTCAATTAAATGATAATTTATAGAATTAATTACTAAGTTTATTTTATTTAAGTTAGTCATTAATAAAAATGAGGATGTAACATTCATTTGTAAATAAAAAGTATTTTTATTATTACAAATAATTACTTTTACAAGTCCAAATATATTATTTTCGAAAATTTCTCTCTGTAACTTTTCTTTTAATATATCATGGAAACTTTGTACATATGATAGATCATATATTTTAATTTTCAGAAATAAGGAAGAATGGAGAAAATGTAAAAAAAATAAATCTATACGTAAAAGAGATAAGAAAAAGGTATTTGATTTTCTTTTGCACATTTTTTGTAATATAATTAAGTCTACATATTTCATATTTACAGATTGATTTAACTGGAGATTTAAATTACAATAGTCCACCAGAAATAGAATTACCTTGCAATGCTTCTGCATTTGCTGTATTTGCTAGTGTTAGAAGCGCTATTTTGGAAAAACATGCTAGAACAACAAATGAGGTTTATAGAGTATCAAATTGTAATTCTCCATCACCACCAGAACATAGTGAGACTATGGATACAGAAAGTGATGATGAGGATAGGATATCAACTATACAGAGTTTACCAAAGGTAACATGTGAAAGCATGTGGTATGTATATATAAAGTATTATATTTCAATTCAAATGTTTTTAGATTGTAGGCATTGGTTTACGAAGTGTTTTCACGTTAATGAGGGAAAGCAGAGCAATTGAACCTCTTTTATGTACAAAAGCATTATCAGCTCTATTGGATATATTGCAAGGACAACTCCCAGAAGGGCTGAAGTCTGAACCAGATGATGTTATTGGTAAAGTATAAAAGCATATGTAATTCCTTATGTCTGTGTTATGTTTTCAATACTTTTATTTTCTCTTAGATCCACTTTTTGATCTGCTGTTGGATCTAGCAACTTCACACGGCCCAGAATCAGCAGCTGCAAATGATGGTAGTCATTTGACTGCAGTTGCTTGTGCATGTTTATTGAGCCTTGTGGTTGTCAGAGGTGATACTGGTCGTCTGTTAGCAGCAATTGCTGCTTTACTCATGTGTCCTAGAGCACTAGCAGTTCAAAATATTCAAGTAAATCTTATTCCCGATTGTTATTGACGATCTGTTTTATAGTTTCGATCGTTTCGAGTAACAGTTTATGTGTCGTAGATGCCATGTGTATTAACATCCTTACAAAGAAGTGTACAAGCTGTATTACTTGGAAAACTTATACGGCCAGACTGGATTACATATGGAGTTCCTAAATGTTCTAAGATTTATACTTCTACGCTTAAGTTACCAAATGAGATAAATAATATAACATTAAATGGACGAAGTTTTGTGAGTGACGGAAAGTACCTGTACCTACACACAACTAGAGGATTATTAAAAATTGGTAGTGGTCACGGTGGAACCATTTGGGGTCATATGTATATTCAGAAAGCAGATTTTTATCCAACGGAAACCGGTTGGCTCGGTTATGCAAATGTTAGTTTAATTAAACATTGATCTTCGATATATGTATAAATATACGTACAACGTTTTCTTAATATTAAATTTGTTATTTCAGAATACATTATATTTTAAGTGTACACCCCGAAAACAGAGCGAATTACTAATCATTGATGCAGAAACCCTTGTAGTCACAGGAATTGCCGTTTTAGAAGGTCGTGACTGGTCATCTTCCGTTATGTTTTCCGATGGCGAATGTTTAGGAATGATAACAGCGGGAAAAGATGTTAGTCATTTATCTTCTTCATTTATTCAAATTTATAATGTTTCAGCGATTAATATAAATCTCATATTATTTATTGGTACAGGATGGTTTTGTAGTCAGAACAATAAATACACTAAGTAATCCAGTAGCGGTTGCATCCGAATTACCATTGAAATTAGCAAGAAAATGTGTAGATGTTTTTGGATACTCTGCTTTTGATGAAGAACAAGCCGTTCATATATTAAATCCAGGCTGTGACGACGAAATTGCTACAGTTACAGCAGGGAAAGAATTTGGTTTATTAAAAACTGTGTCTGGAAAGGTAAGCGGTTAGCCGTTTTCCAATGCGGCAATTATATTGAAATTAAAGTATGTTGCGTAAACGATATATGTTCCAGGTATTATATACTGGAAAAGGAACTTGTCTTGGTATGAAAAGTAATACAAGGCCTAATAGATGGGTAGAATTAACACTTGGAAAAGGACCAAGACTTGTACATTTTGCGGCTGGTCATGATGGTCAGCACGTTGTTATGATTATGGAAGATGGTTCTGTTTTATTTGCTGGAACTGCTAGGCGTGGAGAGGATGGTGATAACAGTTAGTACATTATTCATTTGCAACATAAAATTAATAAAAAATTTTCTGAAATTGACATGTTTTCTAATGTTAGATAAAGTTCGTCGACAACCCAAACCGGTTAAGCCAAAAAAGATAGCAAAGGTAGAAGGACAATTTATTGTAGACGCCGCCTGCAATAATGGATCGACAGCATTAGTCACTAAAGAGGGTGCTTTGTTAATGTTTGGCAAAGATACCTTGCACAGTGATCCGGTATCAGGGGTAGTTACCGATCTCAGAGATGTCTGTGTTGTTCACGTTTCGTTAGGAAAAGCTCATGCTGCGACATTAACTAACAAAGGTCATCTGTATACATTTGGGATTAATAATAAGGGTCAGTGTGGTAGAGATTTTACAGCAGTTCATGCTGTAAATAAGGATGTCTCTGTTGTCGCTATGGAGATGGGTACAGCGGACGATGAACTTTTAGTGACAGAAGAAGGTGGTTATATACGACCTTTAATTTCTTATTATCAAAGAAATAAAATATTTTTATTTGCATTTAGACGGCGTAGAACCGACTGAAGATTGGGAGGAAACAAGAGGGATGTGTCCTCCAGGATTACATCAGTGGAAGCATCGTGTTTGTATGGTTTGCACGGTGTGCCGAGAGTGCACTGGTTGTAGTATATCATGCTTGAGTAGTATACGACCGGATCGAAACCCTGGCCAGTACGTATTCACATTAAGTTTTGTATAGCACAAACGACTAAAACCATTTACTTTCAGGGAATGTGGATGTGGTAAGGGTGACAGTGGTTGCGCGGAATGCGGATGTTGTCGAACATGCGCAAGAAAAAGTTGTACCACTGGTAAAAATTTAACTATAAATCATTGTCTTAGGAATGATTACAAACATCTTTATGAATATTTATAATGAACTTTAGGTAGATCCAGTTCCAATTTTCGGGAATATTTACAAAGGCGTCTGGGAGAAATTAAGCAGAAGCAGAGAACCAAAGCAGGTCCAAGTACTGCGAAATATGGAATGAAGATGAAAGGTCCGAATAATCAAAAATTGGGTAGATGACTTCAGAAAATAGACGAACTCTGCATATATGTATTTAAGGATTAAATTAAGTTGTATAATACTTAATCTGATAATAATTTTCGTATAAAATAGCTGGTCCAAGCGTGATACAAAAGAGTACCGGGAAAATGGCATTGGGGTTAAGTACTAATTTGATGATTGAAGAAGGTATTGGAGGAAGCGATATTGAACGAGGTGACGCGGCAAGAATAGCTAGTATACCACCAGCTAGAGTTCCTATACCCAGCGAAAGTCCTGTGGTTCAAGTATCGTGTGGATTGCACCATACAGGTAATACATATCGATTTGATTTATATGTTTCTTATAAATTTATAAAATGAACATTAGTAATTTTGTACTATATACCATGTATAGTGGTGCTCTTACAAAATGGGGAAGTTTATACATTTGGAAGCAATATATATGGTCAGCTGGGTGTAGGAGATTTAGTAGCACATGCTGGAGTCGTTCACGTTAAGTTACCAGGAATAGCAACGCAAGTTGCGGCTGGAAGTAATCATACTGTCATACTTACTTCAAAAGGCGAAGTGTTTACGTTCGGAGCTTATCAAGTTCGTATTATTATTAAGGCTTATTTACCATAGGTATTAAATAGCAACATTCTTATGCATGCATCTATTATATTCAGAAAGGACAATTGGGCATGAATTGGTGGAATGGACAAAACGACTCTTCAAATACTACTTCACAAACTAGTCGTCGTTCTGATAGGACACAGCCATGGCACAGTTTTCCAAACGTAGTTCCAAATATCGGTCCACGATGGGGTAGACGTGCAACATGGGTTGGCGCAAGTGGAGATCAAACTTATGTCAAAATTGATGAAATAAATTTTATTAGTTTAACAAGGAGTACTGTTATGGCAAATAAAAACTGCATAAGTATGTCCTCTTTTGTAAATCATCGTTCCACCACTATTACATTAACAACTTATTTAATTATAAAACAAATTGTTTCAGTTTTAATTCCACATCAAACTGATCACGCAAATTCGTTCAAATGCTTAGTTATAAGTAAACGGGACGGCACTTGTAATAGTTACAGCGGAGCGGATCAAGTTGACTTCAGTAATTGTGCAACCTGTTTAGATCCTTTGTATAACGTGATTTGGACTTTTAATCCGATAAAGAGTGAAATAAGCCTATATAATATTATATCAACGGAAGCTAGAACGATTCCTGGCTTGGAAGTATCTATTTTGAATCCAGGCTTAGCACTGCCTGTAGTATCAAGCTGCTTTGTAACGCGTTCCCAAGCTGCGATGCATTTGTTGGCCTGTTTGGATACTCTTACACAAGCTCAAGATGAAAATCTGACTATAGTAGAAGAAAATGAATGTAATCAATCAACACACGGAAAAGCGTACAGTCGGGAAGATTTTGTTACGGTTAATAGATTTGAAAGTATGTACAAAGAATAGCCAAAAATAATACATATTTTTATTTCCTCCAATAGCACATTTGATATATTTTCAGGTCACGGTGGTGGTTGGGGTTACACCGCACATTCGATCGAGGCTATCAGATTTATGCCTGATACTGATATCTTGCTTGGTGGATATGGATTGTTCGGAGGCCGGGGCGAATATACAGCAAAAATAAAAGTAATTCCTATTAGATGATTAATTTTTATTGAATCGTGCAAGGAAACTGTAAAAATTATATTGAAAATTGTTTCAGCTTTTCGATATTGGAACTGATGGAGGAGATCAAGAAAACGATGGTGAACTTTTAGCAGAATCAGAGGAAGTACCGTACGAATGCGGACCGAGACAAAAGTATTCTATATTATTCGATGAACCGATTGCTTTGCAAGCTAACAGGTGGTACGTTGCATGGGCAAAAGTTAGCGGTCCTTCCAGTGACTGCGGAACTGGTGGTCAAGGAATGGTCACGGCTAAAGATCAGTTAGTAAAATTAAATGTTTTCTATAAACTAACAAATTGAAATGTCAGACATATCTTTATATTTCTTGTTTTTAGAGTTATGTTTTATTTTAAATCATCCAAGAGATCTAACAACGGAACAGATGTGAATGCTGGACAAATTCCACAATTATTGTATCGTATTGTTACACCCGAAAGTCAAACTCCTAACAGGCAAAGAGATCAAGTCGAACCAGTTTATGTATTGAAACGGGATTTTAGTAGAACGGTGACTAAAGTATGTATTTGGTTTCTTTTAAATTGCACTTAGGAAAAATATATACAAAAATTGTTTTTTCAATATATTTTTTTTCTAGGAATGTTTTCAGTCATTAATATCTCTTCTTCAGTGGAGTTGGAATACATTAAAAGCAGCATTAAATGACACTATGGTTCATGCTATTTCCTCTCACGCATTGCTCGAAATGGAGCGTTTGGTTTATATTAGTAAAGCTAGTTTACGATTACTTAGAACATATATTAACGAAATTTATCCTAATCAAGGTGTGTATTCAGTTTTATTATGAATATTAAATTATATTTGAATATGAGATTAATGGTTTACAGTTGGCAAGAAAACCCCGGCTGAATCGGTTCGTTTAGCCGAATGCATTGGAGAAGTGCGTGCGCTGTTACATCAAATTTTATCTGATTCTGTGCCATTAAATACAAAGAGTAAAGGAAAAACGCGATCAAATAAAAGTGAGTTCTTGTATATTTTGACATGATTTCTTAAAACCTTAATTTTGACGATATGAAAAGTATTTTCTATTTTAATAACACTACATAAAATGTTTCGTTGCATAGGTACTACTACAATAAGCAACAAGTTGACAAATAGCATACTGGATGAATGTCATAGAACATTTGTCGCTTGTTATCATGCATTTTATCCGACGGCATACTTAAAATGGACATGTCTCTGTGAATTATTATCGGAAATTGATAGGGTTAGTGATCTGCTGCTTTCTAATTCATTCCTTCTAAAGTGTAAGTTCTAAATATGTACGTTACCTTATAGGAACAGGGAAGATCTTCAAAAGACCGTCTATTATCAGCCGTTTTAGCTTCCTTGTGTAATCCAGCCATTCGTCTACGATGTACATTTCCGATTTTGACTAACATCATGGATAGCAGTGATAGCATCAAGCGGCAGCTCAGTCCATCCGACAATACTGGCTTGTTGATGATCAATTCCACGGAAAGCCATCAGTATCCAATTTTAGTTGAACAAATTAGTTATAAATCTCAGGTTGAAAGCTCTGGGAAGGAGACCTTAAATTGGTCGTTTCGCGATGTTCTTGATAGACTGTTAGATTTGATTCTAGTCCCGGTGAAGAAAAGTCTTTGCAAAGAAAAGACACAATCACTGCCAGAGTTGGTTCTTCATTGTTGTTATTTGTTAGCGCGGGTGATAGCTGAATTAGCGGCACAGTCTAGCGGGAACGAGGATGAACTTCAAGCTGCCTGTGGCAGGCTTATGTACACCACACCTTCGAGATTTACCCGAGTAAATCAATCAAGATCTTGGAATACCGGTAATGGTTCTCCTGACGCGATCTGTTTTTCGGTCGATAGACCCGGTATCGTTATTGTTGGAGTAGGTATCTACGGAGGTGTTGGAATGTACGACTACGAATTAGAACTGCTTGACGACGTGAGTATCGTATCGTGCTGCATTATCGTATGTAAATCATTATTCCATTGCACTGTTGTAATTATCATATTGCATTCCATAGCAAAACAATACGGGCAATGATCCATCTCATACGCAACGTTGGAGCAGTTTGGATTTTACGCGAGGCTCTTTTGGGCCGGATGATTGCGTTAACGACATAGTAGAGTTAAAATTTGATAAACCAGTGCTCATTAAGGAAAACGTGAAGTATGCTATTAGATTGAGAAACCGTGGTGGTCGTACGAGTAATGGTGACGGTGGTTTAAGTGTCGTTAAAGGACCCGACGGGACTACCTTTACCTTCACGGCTTGTTCCTTAAGCTTTAATGGTACAACACAAACTAGAGGTCAAATACCTCATATCCTTTATTACTCTAATCCTCAAGATTCCGATGGTCAACACACGAGCAAAGCAATGGCTGAGGTGCAAGCAAGAAAATGTACCCTTGCCATGACAGCCACAGTTATTCAAAGGTCCAATGAAATACTTGCATTAGCAAGGGAGAGGGCAGAAGATGGAATAGCCACCGAAGTTTTAGGCAATGCAACGTTTATAACCACTCTTTTACCTTTGGTGATGGCACATATTAGTCCACTGGCTACTTCAGATCCTAGGGTACGTACTATATTTTTATATTTTTAATAATTGTCCGTATTGCAGTTCAATTTTTATGAATTATTCTCTTTCTCAGAGTGGAGTTCAAGTTCTCACTTTAATACAAGAAATGCTTCCTCATGTTTCGGCACTTAACTTATTATCTGCAATGGGATTGTCTCAAATATCTCAAGACAGTGAAGCTCAGTCTCACGTATCTCCACCCATTACTACTAGTCATCATTATACTTGGTTGGAAAGCGATCATCCCTATAAACCTGCTACAGTATCTCACTATAAAGTTACCTTTCCGGATACGGTTAAGTGGTTAACTATTGAATTCACACCTGAGTGTGGTACGGCGCAGCCTGAAGATTATTTGCAACTCTACATTCCGAATATAATTTCACCCGTGGGGTCAGTAGGATCAATGTGCGTTGTTTTCTGTTTCTGAGAAGGAGTATCATACATAATCATTTTTTATATGTCTTCAGAACATCTGTGACCGCAGGGGTAGAAGACACACCCTTATATTGGCCTGTACTGCATAAACTAAGTAATGTACAAAGCCAATGGCCTCAAAACGCGATTGTACTACCAGGTATGTTATTATTTTGCAAAATAAATTGTACATTATGATTTAATATTTCACCGGATCGACTCGTTTATTGTTCAAGGAAATGAAGTGATATTCTCTTTGGAAACTGCGTCGGATTATATGAAAAACGACAGGGCGGTCATGTACGGGTTTAAGTGCTTGGTTATTGGATACGACTGGATAACATCGGGAAATGGGTTAAAAAATCTGGAAATTGAATTATCATTTCTGGGTGGTGCTTGTGCCGCCAGTCTGATGAAGAGAAATCTTGCGTTACCACCTGTGTCCAGTATGTATCATTCTTCAATTTATAATTCAAAATATATTCAATTGTATGTAGTATCGGTTCCGTTATTCAACGAATTTGTTTATATCCTTTCAGACGAAGAAGTGGAAGAGGATCTGGAGCTGATGCAGGAAACCGCAAAGAGGATTTTCTCCATGCATTCAACATTACTTGGCCGAGGATTCGCTCTGGCTTCGCCACCCACGGTCTCCCAGGCTCTCGACGGAGTTCTTCCATTCAGGTGAGTACTAAATTGCAACGCTTGATTCTACTTAACTTGTAGTTTGTAATGAAATGAAATTGGAAAGGATTAGTTTCTTGGCTGGTATATTATAAAGTAGGCATTGTAGGAAAAAATAGCGTTACAAGGAAAACAGGAATTCTCAAAATTTTAATTTTGACAATATATAGAAAATTTACCGCTAGATGACACCAACAGTATTATTATCAGAGCGTTTGATAAGGAAGGTGTCTTAAAGTCGTTACCATAAACAGTTCTTTATCTATTATTTATGATTAACAAAATGTATTATAGTGTTGTTATTTGGGGCATATTATTGATATACAATACCTAACGTGTATTACTACGTCAAAAAATCATATACATTAGGGAAAACAGGGAAAGTATAATTCCATTAGTACGCGCTTTCCACCGCTAGATGGCTATAGCATTTCAGTGTCCGTGGAGCGCAATTTTTTAAAATTTTTGAATTAAAGAAATCATAGTGTCTTGAGGTTAAAAAGGGGGAAGAACAATGATAAATGACCGATTTCTTAACTGAACGGAAACTTCGATTTCCGGTTTTGTCCAGTATTTCCTCTTTAAATCAGAGCGGTACGTAAGAAATCTTGCTCAATACAATTCTTCATATTATGACGAATTTTAATCTGATAATCGCATTCTATAAAAATAACTGTGAAGTTGCGAAAAACAAACGTACATATGTACGTTCGTAACTGGATCGTTATCGCTTCCTGATCATTCTTCTCTTCGAAACCGAATGTGCAGAATTTCGATGAATTCTGGAAGGCGCATTTTCCTTCCCAATTAGTTCCAAAATTGGTCATTCAGCATCGTAATCATCGAATTTTAATCGAGACCGTTTAAACAAGAATTCACCGCCTCCACTTATCGTGACCGTGTTTTATCGTAACGGACTTGGCGAATCTGTATAAATCCCTCGGAAACAGAAGTACGCTTCTGATAATCAGCGTTGCTTTTGCGTTTCCACGTTTCTGCACGGGTAAACGTAAATAGCCGACGAATCGATCCGATCCGACGAAGCTATCGCTAAACTATCGCGAATAGGTGCGTTCAGATTTGCATTTAGACAGAGGGACGGATGAAAGAGGCGTGTAGGAAATTGCATTCGCAGAATCTTGAACTGATCTTTCTTTATTATCTCCTTCGACGTTCGATGTAAAACAAATTATACACAATCGGCTGTCGTTATATCACAGTCTCACGATAATTACAACTAAACTGTCCTTATTAATCATCATCGTTTGTCACCGTTGGTACGATAATTGCATACGTGTGTACATACTGGACCGCGTCGAGCGCCGTATGGATCAGTCGGTCATCCAAGTTTCGTTTCTTTTCGCGTGTTCACTCTAATTGGCCGTACGGCCCGAGGCAACGGGAGTGGGAAAAGGTCGCTGAATAATCTCGAGCAGCTAGGAGGACCAATTTCTGCTGGCCGCCCGGGGGATGAAAGGAAAGAAAAGGAAGGATGGCGCGCGTTCCGCGCGAGAGTCGTTAGAAGAGCAAGTGGCGGCTGCATCAATAATGCATGGCTCACACGTGCGCGAGATAGCTGCACATGCGGGGGACAAAGCGTCGTTTACGGTACTCGTATTGTACTTTTAGAACACGAAACGACCGGCTGCTCGAACGTTCAACGAATCGCTTCCTAGTTTCCTCGTTTCTCGAAATTCCACCATCTCATGGATTCCCGTACGCGCGTTAGATTCATTGATACTCCGATTCTGATTTTGTCTATGTATTCGCAATCAGTTATTTCAACGAATAGAATCATAAATAATTGTTTAAAAACTATAGAAATTATATTCAGACTTACCTGATGAATAGCATTGGTCACAATGGTAATCCGCGTAGTAGAAAACGCGTTAAAAAGGCGTAATTTCACGATTTACACGTGCATTCGTCAAAATTAGATACTGATCGGAATGATAACAATAACAATTTATTGGCAAAGTCGAGAGATGATAAATAAAACGCGATCGGAGTGAAATAAATTACAATGTGAACGAACGTTCCGAACATTCGAGCTTCGGTTTTACATCGAACGGAATATCTCTCCCAGCGGGAACCGGGGGGTGAAACGCTAATGAAACGCTAATAAGATTTTCTTCTCGCGGCTGGCCTCTTTTTTTCCTTTGTTCTAAAAAATCTACCCGATCGATCGAATCGCGTTCAATTTCATGTTCCGTATTGTCAAGGAGTGTCAGGTGATATCGTTTTATTCTGTTACAAGCACAATGAAAAAGAAATTCGCAATTAGGGTCGAACGATCGTATACACACACACGTACACGCACCCATATACACACGTATTGATTTTGGAAGCGAACAATGTTCTCTCGTTTCGTTTTAGAATTGAATATTCGAAAAGATCGAGTTCGTTTTCATCGAACAGACGTTTGTACAGGAATGGCACTGTCTTTCTTCGGTTAAACTAGTCTCGTTCGAGACGTTAATCAACACAAGACGCTACGACGTCGATTAGTTTGTTGTCTGATCGATAAACTTGGAAGCAAGTAAGCCCGATCGTACTCGTGTACTTTACACGAGTCAGCCAGAGTTCAAGAGCTTCTCTTGTTGCTTTTTATCACTCCAAGTCTTCTAATTTTCTTCTCTCCTCGTCTCTCGTATCGGCTCGACAAAAGTTTCGGAGTCCAATCGATGACACTATTCTTCCTTTTCCCTTTGCGATACTACTTAACACCGTCGGTTTGATTAACAACGCGCCTCGATTATCCGTACGCGTGATCTCGATCGATAGACGCGAGCAAACAGAATATCTCTTACAATGAAAAGAAACGAAAGCGTCAGGATAATCGATGCTTCTGTTGCTGATATGTAAAATGGAAGCTTACGAACTGGCTTGTTGTACTCTAAGAAGGATATTAAATGGAAAACAACGGTTTCTCGAGGTCGAGTCTTCTATTCTATATTCTCATTCCAAGCACTGAACACGGGAAAAGTGTCGAGGTACCAGGAGGAAAGTGGCTTAATCAGCACTGACGACATAGTCCCACTTTACACTGGTTACACAAGTCGTTCTGTGCTCTGGCAGCGAGAAGAGGGTCGGTTGCACGTGTCCGTCACGCACCGGTGACGATCGTGTCCCTTTCGTTCACAGCTTGTACACGCGAAAACGGCTCGAGCCGGCGAATCGCTGGAATTCCTCTTGATCGTGTTGCTCTTCGAGTCGAGCTACCGCGGTCCTCGTGGAGCCGCGCGGAGCTTCTCGTTACAATTCGGTGGTCAATGGTTCGGCCTTCTCGACGATCACGTGGAACTCGGTCTCCCTGTATAGCCTGCCGTCCGGTACCACCATAGTTATCCGGCTGTCGACCGGTGCCGCGGAGGCGGCCGTTTCTCTGCCGATCACCCCGTTCTTCTTCGAGACCACGTCCGGCGCGTTGGTCGGCACGCTGATCCATTTCTTCCTGCCGTTACGTCGACGCCTCCTGCAGCACCAGACGATCAGACAGGCGAGTACTATCAGGAACACGAGTAGACCGGCGACGATCAGTATAAAGACTAGTATCGATCCGCCGAGGGAACAATGCCGAGTATCGTATTCAACGAAACCGATCGGCACACCGTCCACCTCGCCGTCGTAACAGAGAAACGTCTCCGGGGTCTCGTTGATCGAGTCCTGCGGCGTCATCGTGGGCGGTAAGACGGAGTTCTGTCTGCTGTAGAACCTCGTGTACACGTTCGTGTAATTGAGAACGTTGTTCTTCCATACGGGCAACATCTGACAGTCGCAAGGCTTCTCGACCAACAGGTTGTCCAACTCGAGACGGAAGCTGCTACGGTCGAACATCATCGAGCCTTCTTCGAAGTTCACCACGCTGTTGTTCTTGAAGATCAGGTCGTGGAGATTGAGCGGTAGAGAGACGGTTCTCGCCTCGGGGTCCGCTCGTATGCCGAGGAACGCGCCTACGGCTAGGCTGCCGAAGCTGTTGTTCTTCAGGATCACCGCTCCTCGAGCGGTCACGTCGAACGCTTCGCTCTCCAAACTCTCCATCGCGCAGTTTTGTATCGCCACCGTTCGTGGACTTCTCACGATGAAAGCCTCGCTTCTCACCGTGCCCATCTTCACCCCGTCCAGCATGAATTTGTGGTAGACCTCTATGTCGTTCATGGTTCTGCTGGGCACTTGGTCGCCGAAACTGCCCCCGATCACGTGCAGGTAGCCCACGTCGAATTTCTTGAACGCTTGCGCTTCCATGCTCTCTATGCGACAGTTCTCCAGCCTCAAAGTGTCCGTGTGGAGTAAATTAGCGAAGGAGAACGCGCTCAATTGACCGATCCTCACGTTCTCGAAACTGATCGCCTCCACGTCGCCGCGGAACACGAAACTTGGCATCGAGTCGATGCTGCAATTTCTCACGGAGATTCGCGTGCGTGTACTGCGCGGCGACAGCTCGAAACTTTGTCTGACCAGGCTCAGGTTAGCCACGTTGATCAGGTCGACCGAACGGAGGCCAGCCATCGAGGCTAGACTGGAATTCGACAGGATCACCGAGCTACAATTGCCCACCACTATCCTGCTCGTGTGAGGGCTCAGTTTTCGCTCGCCCTCCGTGGTCAACACCAGTTCCTGAAATTGAAATAGTAATTATTATAGCAGTGTAATTAGAAGTTCGTAATAGACAATAGACGTTTCCGGCTACCATTCTCCTCGTCGCAGTCTATTTTTCATGCATTCCCACCGTTACTATCGAAATTTCAATCTGTATTATTTTGATCGAATCAAGGGTAATTTAACAGAGACAAATATGGAACGGATGTTAACGATGCGGGATGCTGAGCAGAGGTCGAATGACTGTAATTGAACGTCCAACTACCGTAATCGTCGGGAACGCGTGCCACCGGTGTCGCACGCCCCTGCCAATTAGTTGGTCCAATATTGTTATCGTAATCGCGGGGCTTTGCTTTTCCGTGCCCGGCCATCGTCGTTTCCTCTGTTCTGGCCGGGAGAAC